ACACACACACACACACACACACACACACACACATATCCTTAGGTAAGGTGTACTTGCCTATGAATTAGAGCCCTTTGACACAAACCAGGATACAAATGTCTTAAAAGTTTCAGCTGTGACATAATATCATATGAGGAATGCAGAATAAAATATGTAAGGTGATATATCTGTTATTTCTAGAGAATCTGAGCTGCTTCTGCTAAGAACTGAGAAGTGAAAAAATATTGAGCTGTCTAAACCAACCGTTATCTATTTATCTCCACAGGGTTATTGTACCTGTCACAGGAGATTCAGAAAGGTCTCTTTAATCAGGGTCAAGGAGACCTAATCCTAAGAAACCTGTTTTAACATCGCCACTAGGGGGCCCTAAAGGCATCTCAAAGAGGGAGCCAGGAACCGTGCTCTCACGTCGGCTTCTCCCAGCCTCATTTTCTGTGTTCCTAAATGGAACTGGTATCTAAAGTTAAGAGCATGGTGCAAACTCTGGAGGCTAGTCCGGCTTTATGCTTTAAAAAAGACCAGAGTTCCATTTTAATTCATGAGGCAAGAACATACAATAGTTTACCAACTCTTTTCTCACCTCCAAAAAACTACACCAGAAAGGAATTTTGCACTCAGAGATGAAGGTGGCCTGTTACTCTTAGCAACTTAAGGTCAACCCAGTTATTTTTATTATTACAGATAGAAACTCTTTCTAGGATTTTTGGGCTCTTTCTTGAATGTTTTGAATGTTCTTCAAGTGCTAAGGAGCAAGATGAATCCTCACCGGGGTGATATGAAAAATATTTAACAACCAATCACCTTACAGGAATTCAAGTCAGCCATCAGGGCACTAGCACACCTGGTAAGGCAGGTATTAATTTTTTTAGTGCTGGGTTCCAGTGAAATGGTGGTTTGAGGACAAGGTGGTTTGAGGGGGGATGGCAGTGACAAGTGGGGTGATGAGGCTAGAGTGGTGGGGAGGGAATGGGGAACTTACTTCAGCGGACACTTAACCAGCCAGTGTGCAGGTTTTCAATATTTTAACAAGTGATGTTATGTTTTTCAAAATAACCTGAGTAATATCAGGCCTGATCATACATATAGCTGACCAACATTGTTTGTAGACTTTAACATCTAGCAATCAAATTCTCAGGGCTTCTAAATCCTTAGCAGTTACATATCTTTCCCACATCCTACCAGTAAATAAGGTTAAGATGTCCTGTATGAGCATCAAGAATGAAACAGCTCTTGGGTTACATAGACATACAGAAGCCTAATTATTCTTCAACCGATGCCGAAGACATGTCTCCAAAGGATGTCCTGTCTAGACACATTTCAAGTGAAAATTCAAGTACTAGGCATGAAACAGTCTTCTGTCATTCAGGCCAGTAATCAGAAGCCATTCCCGAGCCAAGCAAAATGCCTTCATCCGGGCTGAGCAGGGAGGAAGCCACTTGTTAGCTGAAGAATTAAAGAAAATTGCAAAAGCCACCAAATTAACATGAATAGAGGTGTGACCAGAACAGAATTTAACTAAAAACAAAGCGAGTCTAGAATTGAAACATGAGACAAGGAATGGGGACAAAGTCTTAGTGGAATGAAAAATAGTTTATGGTCCCATCATCGTGTTCATTAGCAGGCAAGATACAGGTGTTCCCAAAATAGCATTATTAACTTTCAGGAGACTTGCCACTGCAAACCTCAGAGCCAGCTAATTAGAACAAATTTGGCTCTAAATGGAGAATCCCATTGTCTTTAGGAAAGAGTGTATTCACTCACTGACTGTGCAGGTCAGTCAGGTATATGGCTCCTTATGATAAAATGCTTACCTGGGGACCCAAAGGCCCTCTGGAGACAGGAAGGAAAAAAATCAGTGCTGATGAGGTTAATGTAAAGGGCAGAGCATGCTTTTCTCCTGAGGTCCTGGAACCCATGTAGAAAACGGGGAACTTAAGCTTGGTGGACCACAAGCGCCTCAAGACAAAAATGAGAGAGAAAAAAAGAATTCAGGTCTTGGTAAAGGCATCAAAGTCCTGAAATAAAGAGGGTGGGATACACCTTTTGGAGCTTTTAGGCAAGAGATCCTGTTTCAATGGCAGTCATAGTTATGTGGGTATATTTTATCAGCTCCTGCTTTTTCCCCCCTCTATATCGAAGGGACCCATAGAGCAGGACATCTGAAGCCTGCTGTGCTTTCAGATCACCTGGGAATCTCCTTAAAATGCGGATACTGACTCAGTAGGCCTGCAGTGGGGCCCAAGATCCTACTTTTTAACAAGTTCCTGTCTTGGACCACTCTGAGTAGCAAGGACGTAGAGGACATTTGTTGATAGTCAACAATGTCCTACTCTCCCTTTCCTATTCCTAAGAGTATGGTGTTAGTAGGTTTCCCCAAAAAAGTAAACCGTGAGACAAGGATTTGGGGAGCAAGAAACTTATTGGGGATGTCATTCCAGGAAGCGCAGTGAGGGGGTGAGGAAATGAAACAGGAAAGGGAGGAAAGCCAATAAAGGGTGAGTTAATAAATTGTCAGTGGGTACTCAGTTCTGATAAGGACCCTCCGAGAGGCCGTGTAGAATGGCATTGTCCAAAACAACTTTCGTGTGATGGAAATGTTAACTGTTTTCGCGGTCCAATATGGTAGCCACTAGCCACATGTGACTATGGTGTGCTTGAAATGAGGTTAGGGTGATTCAGTCACTGACTTTTTTATTTTATCAGATGTGGATTGGTTTAAATTTAAATAGCCACATGTGGCTACTGGCTGCTGGGTTGGAAAGTACAGATGTAGAACAAGCGCTCAGAATGGTCCCACGGGTGGCATGGAAACCTAGAAGATTACTTATCCACCGGATCCCTTCAGTTGTTGAGGTTTGCTCCTAGGAATTAGTCATATCCTAGCATGTCCATCGTGTTTCTCTGGCCAAAGAATAAATACCCCTAGCAGAGAGGTACAGTTGCATAAGAGAAGAAACCTTCAGTGTA